ATTTAAAATTAGCTTTAATTTGTTCCAATAGATCAGCTCCTTGAGTTTTATCTATTTTCAGCTCTTCAGCTTTTAGACATTTAAGGGCTCAAAGCAAATGTGTCCATAATCTGATTAATAATCTGATCCAACCAGATGATCAACAATTCAAACATTTGCATGTTCCTGCATCTATGTGCTCCTCAGATGATCACGACTCCCAAGTTGGGATGTTATTCCTCTGAAGTCACAAAGATTTGTTGATTAATTTGGACATTACAAATATGATAACATATATTTTAATGTTAAAAAAAAGATTTGAAACACATTCATTTGCACAGTTAACCAAAATCTTGTTACAATAAATGAAGAATTATTACCAACTCTTCACCTCAATGACTGAACTCACATCACTGGGAGATATTTATCAGATTTCACAGCTTCCTCTGCAACTACAAATGGCTTAATAAAACTTCTTCTCATTTTAAATCACAACAGCAGCACAGATCTTGATTACAGAGCTCTTCTTAAAAATGTTTCTCTGTCTTAATTAAGATGTCTCTTAGAACGTGGGTGAGGGAGAGGGCCAGCAGTCCTCACTCCATTTTTACTAAGCATGGGCAGATCTTTAAGACAGCCAGTCAAAACTGCAGCATGTGAAAATACTGCTACCATTTGGATGATTTTTTCTTCCTGGCAATGAAACACAGTTAAAAATGCATCTGACAACAAGTGACACACAGTCCCAGCCATGAGCAGTGTGAAACTTGAAAGCTCTGATATGAATTTGGAACTGGCCTGCAAGACTCAGTATTGCTTAAGACACAGGAAGGAGTCCAGCTGGCCGAAGCATCTGGGACATTGCGTTCTGTTCTCTGGTATCCATCTTGTATTTTTTATTTTATTTTTTTTGGGGGGGAGGAAACTTGAGAGGAAGCAAACAAACTTCAGAAAGTTAAGATTCCATATTAGCAGAAAACAACAACTCTCTATTTAAGGGAGTAGACAAAACTTGCACGTAGCAGACATACTTTCTTCATTTCATCCTCCAGGTTCTCCTCCTCCTGACCCTCGGAGAGCCGGCGCCTCAGCTCGCCCAGCTCCCTCTCCACCGCCTCGCGATACTGGTTCCACTGGGCACGCTCCTGCTCCAGGCGTTGGTGGAACTGGACCTCATACTCACACACCGTGTCTGCACGGGGAGAGGAAGCAGGCGATGAAACCGAACAATAGCACATCCATATCGAGTCATGCAGTCAAGCGTGAAGACATAAAAACAGGAACAATATTTCTGATATAGGTGGGGGATCATTTTCATTTCGAAATGTTTTTGTGATGGTTATTCATGATAAACAAGTAGACAACAGATTTTTAGGGTTGCATTTATTTTTTTAAATCAGTTAATCTTTCAACTATTTTCTTGGTTTACTGTCTTAAACTGGTTCAAATTTACTTACAAAAAGTCTATAATACCCTTGTTTTGTACAACTCTTTTCAAACTGGTTTCTTGAACTTGACAGGGAGTTCACCGTACTCAAATGACCTCTGCAGTCACCAGGTCTCAGTCCAATAGAGGACTTTTGGGATGCGGTGGGCATTCACATCCTGGATGTGCAGCCGACAAATCTGCAGCAACTGTGTGATAGCACGTGAATGATCTCCTTTTTACCTACATGTTTAATAGAAAGTTTATCATCTAGCCAAGATTTCCTCCATGCCGAAAAAATCTTTTCGCTACAGTCCTCTGATCTGACACTGGCCTGGATCAGAGGGCTCAGTATGAGTATGAGCCAGCAGATGAAAACACTACACTACACACAAGCATCACAGGTAGTTCTCACTGTGAAGTTGAGATAAGTGAGTAAAAGAAAAATTGTCTCAATCTGAAGAGACAATATTCATATTTGGTTGAATTTATATGGAATGACTCAACTGTTAAATGATTGTTATATGACAATGTCTGTAATACTGCAGTTATTAGAAGTTTTAAGTGTAACCTTTCTAAATTTGTTAAAGCGCACTAAAAATTAACAAATTCTGTGTAAATAACATCCTTTTTCTTAGAGTAGCATCCCCAACACTGTCTGAAGATCACTTTCTGTAGTTTCAGGAGTTGTTAGTGCACAGACTTGCATGCTTCCAGTGTGAATGCAGAGCAATGATGACATGATGAAGGAGGAGATTTCTGATTGGTTTTTACTACTGATGTGCAAATTTGGTTCTATGAGGTGCAATGTCATCATATTTGTTGAATTTTTTTTGTAAGGACTACCTGGGGTATTCTTCAGTAAGACACAAGGAACATCAACAGAGGCAGTTACACCGTACTATGACACCTGATTATGCCTACGCAACTTTTACAGCCACTTTTAAGGCCACCAGACTCCTTTAACAAAAAGTGGAACTTTGCTTGACAGAAAACAAAAACCAGAATACAACTTTCTGGTTTTACCTCATTGATTCAAATGTCAAAAGACGCATAAGAAATCAAGGAAATCAGCTGTGGAGCAACAAATTAAGTGAGCTGAGATGTTAAATTACTGCTGTAATCCAAGGAGACTGAACAGTATAACAGTTCCCCCTCAGAGAGAGCTGTCTGGCAGCACAAAGATAAAAAATATCTTTTAATCAATAGTTACTTATTCACATTTGTTTGTGTTATGGTGTCACTGCGACCTCACAGTTAACGTAGCGAACAAACAGCTGAGACAGCAAGCCTAGTCTAACTGGTTTGTCTGCCTGTGTACAGATGAGCTGCACACATGCCACTTCAGTCAGGCTGAGGCGA